GGCACCGGGAGCGCCCCGCGCCCGGCCGGGGGAGACCCGCTTGTCCACCCCGCGTGTCCACCCCGCGTGTCCCTGCGCCCCCGTGGGCATCTTCTCCCCGCCCCAGCCCCGTGGTGTCCCTCCAAGCCCCGTGGGTTCTGTAAGGTGTTTTATAGCCCCCCAAACACCGAGGAACGCGGTGATGCTGCCCTGGGAGCGACGGGAAGCCACGGCAGGTGGCTGATTCACACCAGCGCAGGGATGCCTCACCCCGACCCAAATTCGGTTTTAAAATGAGATGTATTAGGGTCTTCCCCTCTTCAAATGCCTATTCCCCGGATCCCCCGGGATGGGGCGGCAGGAGACACCGACCTGCCCGGCTTCAGCAGCACCTGGGACCCGCCCCGGGGTTCGGGCAATTCCTCGGCCGGACTTTGGATCTTTGTAGCAGGACAAGGTGTGCGGGGACAGTGACAGCCCCCCGTGTCCCCATGCCCAGCCCGAGCTCGGCGCTCCACGAACACAGCACGGCGAGCTCCGGCTCCTCTCCCTCCCCTCATCTCCGAGCATCGGCATCAGCTTTATTTTCCAAACACTCACAGCTACACACATGCACGGGGGTGGGGGGCCCGCGGGCACCTCCGAGCGAGGCGATCCCTCCATCCGCTGCGGGAATTGGGGTTCCCCTTGGCTGCCGGGCCCCAGCAGCGCCGGTCCCGTTCTCCCTGCCGTGGATCGCCGCTTTTCCTGCCGGCAGCGAGAACGGGCTCCGCTCCGCTGCCACCGGTGTGCCCGTGGTGATGCCAGCTCCGCTCCGTGCCGGGAGGGCGATGGCAGCTGCCCCATCGCTGCCCCAAGGAGGGAGCCAGAGCGGTGTCCGTGTCCCCCGGCCGCGCTACAGGACGGGGGCCATGCCCACCCCCTCTGCCTGGGGGGCTCTGGAGATCTTCTCGGGCCGAATGCAGACGGCGAGGCGCTGAGCGAGAGACAGAGCACAGCGGATTTCCCTCCGAGCCCTTCCCAAGCTCTCCCGGTGGGATTTCATTGCCACACCGAGATGCTGAGGATGCGCCAAGCGCCTGACCCGAGTGGGGTCCCTGCCCAGCCCAGCCCACCCAGGAGCCGTGGGATTGTCCCTCCTGCTCCTCACCTGCTTGAGGGACCCCGGCGTCCAGACGAGCTTGTACACCATGTAGAGGGGGATGCAGATGAAGGACGATGCTCCGATGAGGAATCCCACGGAGATGCTCCACTCGGGGTACCGGTAGTCAAAGAGGGTCAGGGGTGGCTGCTCCAGGAGGGAGCTGATGACTATGAACTGTGATGAGAAGAGCCACAGGGGCCCCGTGAGCAGTCTGGGCCCCTCTCACCAAGACACACATTGAGGGGCTGGAGCGTGTCCAGGGAAGGGAACAGGGAAGGGGCTGGAGCCCCAGGAGGGGCTGAGGGAGCTGGGAAAGGGGCTCAGCCTGGAGAAAAGGAGGCTCAGGGAGGATCTTCTGTCTCCCCACAACTCCCTGACAGGAGGGTGGGGGTTGGATTCTGCTCCCAGAGAACAAGGGACAGAAGCAAAGGAAATTGCCTTAAGTTGTGCCAGGTTATGTTGGACATCAGGGAGAATTTTCTCACCAAAAGGGCTGTGCAGCCCTGACACAGCTGCCCAGGGCAGTGCTGGAGTCCCCATCCTGGAGGGATTTAACAGATGTGTAGATGTGGGGGCATGGGTTGGTGGTGGCCTTGGCAGTGCTGGGTAATGCTTGAACTCTTTGATCTTAGAGGGCTTTTAAACCCTAAATAAATAATTTAAAAACCTAAATAATCCTCTGGTCTCCCCATCCCTGGCACTGGTGGCAGCTCACCCCACAGGTTATCACAGGCTACAAGGATGGAACATCTTTAAGCATCTTTAAGGTCCCTTCCGACCCAAACCATTCTGTGATTCCATGATTCTATGAACACCATCCACGTCCTGCTGCTCTCCCTGTCATCCCAGGGACATCTCCATCTCCTGTCCCAGTCATCACAGGGACATCTCCCAGGCTGCCAGCCCTGGCTGGGTGAGGGCTCTGTCCAACCAGCCCCGTGAGCCTTCGAGGGCTGCTCAGCCCCGTGCTGAAACAAACCCGTTTGCCGTGTGCTTTGATGATAATACTCCTCTCTTAATAACCAGGGCAAAGTGCTTAGAGCCATAATTAATCCTCACAAGGCCTCTTCTCCTGCAGATCCGGTGAGATTAGACCCCTCTGCCGACGGCAGCCTTTGAAGTGCCGTGGGAGCTGGCATTTCAAAGGGACGGATCCAGCCCGGCGCACGGGAGCTGGACCCGTGGCCAGCCCTGCCAGGGATGCTGCGTGCTGGGAGGATGAGACAAAGCTGAGCTCGCACCGGTGTGAGCACCCAGCTTTGCCCTGGAGCTGTGGAAAAGGCTGGAAAATGAACTTCCAGCTCCCTTTCTCGGTGAGGGGCTGTGGGCACTGTGGTGGTGCCCGTGGCTGGAGCAGCAGCACGGGGAGGGCTGGCATGAGCTCCCACAGCCCTGTGTGACCCCAGAGCGGTCTCCTGGCAGCTTGGTGACCTCATGAGAGTCACAGGGGAGTTATCCATGGCACAGGGAGCTGGGCAGCAGAGGGGAGTGGCTGTCCTGTGAGGTGTCCAGCGGGACAGAGATGACCTTGTCCGTAATTCCGCCGTGGATACTCACTGCCAGCAGGGCCGGGCTGATGGCGACCCAGCACAGCTTCCAGAAGAACCCCGGGGTGAAGCCCAGCATGGCTTTGACATCGTGGGAGAACCTCTGGATCCCTGCCGGAGGAGAGAGCCCTCAGAGCCCAGGGATCCCACTGGGGACGTGGGTTCAGGGATATCCACACGGACACAACGCCCTCTGCTCCCATCCCAGCCTGGCCAGGAGCCCCACACGGGATCCAGCGCTCGGGATTTACTCACCTGTGCAGGGTCACACACCCATGCAGGTGCCCACGGGGTGTTTTCCATGACAGAGGCAGTTTCTTACCATAAAACCAGGAGACAGCGATGGTTTCCAGGAGCACCACTGCCAGGATGGAGCAGCCAGCACCAAACTCCTCCAGCAGCTTCACCACGTAGGCTCCCCCCTGGAGCAGCACGAGGAGGGGGAGGCTGCAGACCCCACGGGGGTGAAGGAGGGGATGTGGGGGTCCAGGGCAGGGTGGTACCAGTGGAACTCACGTAGGTGAGGGTGCTGAGGGAGCCCAGGAAACAGACGGTGATGAGGCCAAGGACGAAGAGCTCCCGTCGCCCTGCCAGGACCTGGGGGTACTCGTCCATCACGGCCGTGATCACGGCCTCCAAGCCTCCAAACTGCAAAGGAAATGCTGGCATGGGGTGGGGAAATGGGATGTGGGGACAGTCCTGCTCTCCAAGAAAATCCACATGGCAGAGTGGGGATGTCCCATCCCTTCTTTCCATCCCATCCCAGCCCTTCCCAAGGCTGTAACTCCCCTCACCCACTGTCACCTCACTATCAGCCGTGGGACACGGCCAGCCCCGGTCCCTGCTGGGGACACAGCTGGGCTGTCCCGCTCCTACCGTGCTGTCCAGCCCCAGGGTGATCATCATCAGGAAGAAAATGATGGCAAAGAAGGTGGATCCCACCATGTTGGCGATCGCTTCAGGGTAGGTGATGAAGAGGAGGCTGGGCCCTAGGAGGGGACACTGGCTTGGTTGGCTGTTCCCTGGCATAGCCCTGAGGGTGGGGATTTGGGGAAGAGGCTGCTGGAGGGAGGAGAACCTTTATCTCTGGCGACATCCTCCACCTCCACATCCCTCATCTCGGCCATGTAGCCCAGCACGGTGAAGATGACGAAGCCTGAGAGGAAGCTGGTGAGGCAGTTCACAGCACTGGTGACGAGGGCATCCCTGGAAGGCAGAAAAGAGGGAGAAACCCCTCACCCTGCTCCAGCTGTCCTGGCCTTCCCATACTCCAGTTCCCTCTCCTTGCCCCCCCACCAAAACCGTCAGGGGAATGGGGAGAGGTGCCCAGCCTGCAGCCACAGGACCAGGAGCTGTTGGGATGTGGCAGTGGGGACCAGGAGCTGTTGGGATGTGGCAGTGGGGACCAGGAGCTGCCAGGACATATCTCCACTGCAGCTCTGCCCACTGGGATGGACCCTCCTCACCTGTAGCAGTTGTTGTGGAAATGGTTGTAACTGGCCAGAGCAAGGAGGACTCCAAATCCAGGGCCCAAGGAGAAGAAAATTTGTGCAGCAGCATCCACCCAAACCTGGAGGGAGAAACAACAGGAGGATGGGCAGGGCTGGGGTGGGGAGGTGTCCCACAGTACCAGTGACATGGACACCCCATGGCACAGGCTGTGCTGGCACACATGTCCAGACCCCCTCTCCTGCCTGCCCCGTGCCCTCAGGAGATGTCCTGGGAGCTGCTGTGCCGTGGAGTGAGCTCATTTCCACCCTGGGGTCCTGCAGCAGCACAACTCAGCAGTGTCACCTGTGCTCTCCCACGCTCAGGGCAGGGATGGATGGAGGGGAGCCCCGAGCCTGCCGTGCCCACTCCTGCCCAGCACTCAGTGCTGGCAGCACGGCCCTCATTACCTTTAATGAGAATTCTCAAGTGCTGCCTGGTAATTACCCACAGGAAGCCCATTGTCAGCCCAGGGGGGAGCGCAGCACAAACAAAACCGGCCAGAATGAGATGGGTGATTCAATTATGGATTTACATTTCCAAGAGCCTGTCCAGGGCGCCTCGTTTCTGTGGGAACGAGGGCCCCAATGCCCTGTGGTGGGGCCAGACCCATGGGCAGGGTTGGGTGGGTGTCCTGGGGAGGGATTCTGGGTGCTGCCATGCCCAGATGGGTGGGTGGGTGTCCTCTGCAGGGCTCTGGGTGCAGGGGGTCCCACCGTGCACTCACCGCGGTGCTCAGGAGCTTGCCCCAGTCCGGGCGCAGGTAGAAGACAACCCCTCTCCAGGCTCCAGGCAGGGTGGCCCCTCGGATGAGCAGGATGAGCAGGACGACATAGGGCAGCGTGGCTGTCACCCACACCACCTGGGGGGAGGCAGCTGTCACCCCATGGCTGCACAGAGCACCCAAAGCCCCGTGTTGGGCAGGGGCTGAGGAGGAGGAGGAGGAGGTGACATTCCCTCTTCCACAGTCAGGTGGGTGTCAGGATCCTCCCAGGTGATGGGTCCCTCCTGCCCTGGCAGGGCAGTGCTGGAGCCCTCCTCACCTTCCCAGAGGTTTTCACCCCTTTCCACAGGCTGAAGTAGACGATGGTGAAGATGAGGAAGAGGCAGAGGAGCAGCTGCCAGCGGATCCCCCCGATGTCATACAGACCCCCGGATTTCTGGATCTCCAGGACCTTCCTCCTGCAGACAGGGATCCCCACGGCTGGGAGCAGGCTCAGCCCCAGGCAGGCCAGCTCCTCAGGAGCATTCCCACCCCAGAGCTCCCTCAGGGATGTGCCCAGCTCGCACCATCCACATCCGTGCACTTACGTGTAGAACTCCTCGGCGGGGGACCTGGAGAAGTTGGTCCAGGTCACGTTGCTCTTCCCAAAGTAGTTGGTGCAGTCAGGGGTGTTCCAGGGGTTGTCACAGCTGGCCCAGGGCAGGGTGCCCGAGAAGGATGAGTAGAAGTAGTAGAGAGCCCAGGCAATGATGGTGTTGTAGTAGAAGGAGACGTAGAGGCCGATGATGCAGATGGCAAAGCCGATGCCTGGGAAGAGCAGGATGGGGCTCAGCCCTGGGACACGGCTTTGGGGACCAGCTGGGGGTCACGGTGTCACCTGGGCTGGGGGTCTCTCACCTTTGAAGATGGGGCAGATGCGCTTCCAGATGGGGATGGCACCTGTCCTGTGGAACTGCCCCAGGGCCAGCTCCATGTAGAAGAGGGGCACCCCTCCAAAAACAGCCATCAGCGTGTAGGGGATGAGGAAGGCTCCTGCAGGGTGGGGAGCAGGCAGCCAGGGGACCATGGTATTGTCACCTCCCTCCCTCCAGGCACTGCCCCAGCAGGTTCGGATGTGTTTGTGAGAAGTGCTGGAAATGATCTGGTCAGAGGAGCTCAGAGATGTGAGCTTGGTGTTCCAGCATCCCAACATCCCTGCTGGAATCCCAGCCCTTCCAGGGGAGGCACCATTTGGCCAGGATGGAGCAAAGAGCCACACAAACCATTGAGGTACAGAGGAGGGGACACCCAGCACCCCTCAGGTCTGGAAGAGTTTTGGAGGAAAATCTGACTGAATATGCACAGCCACCCCAAGACACATAATTAACGCTGTAATCTGCATTATTCATAACATCCTCATTTTTACTGGGGCTACACTCGTACCCCATGGAGCTTTTGGAAGTGGAACTGCTCTCTGAGTTCTGCTGGGATTAGTTAATTTAACCCCCACGGCTCCTCCCTCTGACAGATGTGTGTGTGGTGCAGCATCCCAACACTCCCAGTATCCCCAGCATCTCCAGTATCCCCAAACCCTCAGCACCTCCAGCATCTCTGGCATCCCTAGCACTCCCAGTATCCCCAGAACTCCCAGTATTTCCAGTATCCCTGTCACCTCCAGTACCCCGAATATCCCCAGCACCCTCCTGCAGCCCCCCAGTCTGCCTGGCAGGACTGGCCCAGCAGGAACAAGCGTTTTCAGTGTTTTTCTTCCAGATCCGGGGCTGTGTGTGAGTCCAGTGCTGCCCATCCCAGTGCTCCCCATCCACGGGGCTGTGCTCCCCCAGGGCTGCTCCCTGAACTCCTCATCCTCCCGTGTGCGTGGGGTGGCTGGGAACCACCCACCCAAACCAGAGCACGCAGAGGGGCTCAGCTCTGCTCCCAATCCCACAGGAGCAACTGGCAGATAACTGTGTTTCAACGTGGGCACCTGGGATCCACAGTTTTGCCTTGAGTATGGAACTAATTATCTCTTTCTAATTTTCCCAAGCAGTAGAGGATGTTCCCCGAAAACCGACTTTGGCAATTAAATCCACTGCGCTCTCCCAAACAGCACAAAATTCTCATCCCCTCCTTTTTTCATTTCCATGTGAGGGGGGTTTCTATCCTGCTCCATCCCAAGCAATTTATTTAGTTGTCATTTACTGAAGGTTTTCCCCCTTCGTGGTGTTTCTGTGTCTTGGTTTCTCATTGATCCCTCAAAGCCAGGGCTGCTCGTGAGGTCCAGCACAGCAGGAGGGTGGGATGCTCATGAGGATGATTTTAAACCAGGAGCCATCCCAAAGGGCAGCTCCCCAGAGCCCCAAGATGTGTGTGAACCTCCCAGCCCAAATTTACGAATCTTAATCCTTTTTTTTGGCAGTTTGGACCATGCTAATTTCCCCTTTGTGATCCTGGAGCTGCTAACGCACCTCTAACCTCGCTGGGAAAGGAGGGAAAGACCAGGAAAGGAGGAAAGGACCCCAGGGAAGGAGGATGGAGGGAGTGGGGGAGGAACTTGAATGAAGAAAGACAGAAACAGAAAAGAGACAGATGTCGGGAGAAGTTGGGTCGGTCTCTAAACCGCCCTGTCTGAAGTGGATCAGCTGCAAACAAAGAAAGAAAAGAAAGAGTGAATTTTTCAGTGTGGGAAAGATGGAAAGTGAGGGAAAAGGCATCATTTCTCCAAAAGAAGGCTTAAATAAACCCAGTGGTGTCCTTACCCCCTCCGTTCTGGTAGCAGATGTAAGGGAACCGCCAGACGTTGCCCAGATCGACGGCGAATCCGATGACGGAGAGGAGGAAATCCATCTTTTTGCTCCACTTGTCCCTGGGGTGGGTGTGGGGATTTGGGGGTGTGGGGCTGCTGGGGGGACCCAGGCAAGGCTGCTCTGCCATCCTGCCAACCCGGCAAATCCTGCAGGATTCAGGCTGAGTAACTTGGGGCCGGGAAGGATTTCTCTGTGGCTGATGACAGATCCGAGGAGGGGAGGGTCAGGCTGACTGCGCTTCCCCACCTCCCGCTGGAAACCCACGGCACCGAGAGCAGCCGGCAGGGAAACCAGAGCCATGCTCTGATCAAAGGCAGCAGGGGAGAGCCCCTGAGCATGGGGACCAGCCTGACCCTGCAGGGACCAGCATCATCCCACAGGGACCAGCATCATCCCACAGGGACCATCCTGACCCTGCAGGGACCAGCATCATCCCACAGGGACCATCCTCACCCTGCAGGGATCATCCTCACCCTGTAGGGACCAGCATCATCCCACAGGGACGAGCATCATCCCACAGGGACCAGCCTCACCTTGTGTGAACAAACATCACCCCGTGTGTCCCACCCAGGGGAGGGGATTCCAGCTCAGTTTTGAGGTTGAGGTGATAAAATGGGATGGTGTTTCTCCCTCTCTCCTGACAAATCCCTATTTCTCTCTCCATGGTGTATTTTGCTAAGGAGGTGACACGGATGCTTGCAGGGGAAATTCGGGAATCATGGAGTGGTTTGGGTTGGAAGGGACCTTTAAAGGTCATCTCATCCATCTGGGCTTGATGGGTCTCTCTGGGGTGTGAGCTGCTGGGGAAAAGCCACTTGAAAGCCAAATAACTTTCACAGCTGAGCTGTGACCAGGAGGGGATGGCAGCGTCCCCAAAGCCACCGCTCTGCCCTGTGACAGCTCCACAGCAAAATTCATTGCTTTGAAATGCGTCTGTGCAGGGCTTGCACAGAGCCGGGGTCACAGGGCTCTCCCGGGGCTCTGGGGGCCTCCAGCCCCGGCTTTCACAGCCTTTCCCATCTGTAATTAAAAGAAACTAGAGGAGTGATGGAGCCGGAGCTGCGGCTCCAGGGCCATGGTGAGAGGGTTGCTGTGACGACGTGACGCAGCTGCCCGGCACGGGAAGCCTCTGGACACTGTTAATCCCTCAGGCACACACATGAAAACCCGTTAGAAACCTCCAGTTAAAAGCACATTTATATTTTTGTGTGTGTGTGTGTGTGTCTGGCCCTGGCTGCTCGGGCTGTCCTAGAATGGAATCAGGCAATCATGGAATTGTTGAGGTTGGAAAAGCCTAAGAGTGGGTCCAGTCCTGCCAGTCCCTGCACAGGGTGGGCTGCACTCCACGGGCTTCTCCCTCTCCACTGGGGAACCTGAAATTATTGTTGGTTTAAGACGAAATAATTGTTCTTTGAGCACGTCTCCTGTGAAATACAGCAGTTTTCCGCTGGTGGGGTTACGAGGAGTGATGAG